ACCTTTGGTTTGGCTTGATTTAGTTTGTTATGTTTTACAGCAGATCAACCTCAATGGGTTATTTAATGCCGACAAGTTTTTTTTTTTTTTATTGCTGGTAATATATTTCTTCAAAAATCTAATGCTGGTTAATTTTTTTCCCAAAAATGTATTGCTGGTAACAATTTTCCTTCAACAATGTATTGCTATTAATATATATATTTTTGTCAAAATTGTATTGCTAAATGTTTTGCTGGTAATCATTTTTTTCTTCAAAAATTCATTGCTGTTATTAAGACGTATTTTTACATTTTCATACTGTTTTCACTCCATAGCTGGGATACTAACAGATGCTACCACCGCGGGTCAAAGTGGACCTAGGAACACACGCAAATAAGAGGTGGTTCCACGCTCCTCAAAACCTCCTGATCAGAGGCCTTGCTGTCAGTTGTAGTTTATCGTCTTACCCAGGACGCGGATGTAGTTCATCATCATACCGAAGACGGTCCTGTCCTTTGTAGCTCTTTATAACTTTTGTCTTTTTGTCATCTCTCCCAAACTCTGTTCTGCCATCTATTGCTCGATCTTGTCAGATAGATTGCACGTTGCTTTCCTCTGGATCTCTTAACTTGACTCTGTCTTATGGGTATCAAATAATCCAAGCTCTTTTTCCTCGTTTTGTCTCCATCAAATTCCAATTGTTTCTTCCTGATATTATGCACGAGTATCATTTTGGGTTGGTATTGTCGCTAGAACTTCGTCATTGCTCACATGTTCGGTTCATAATATTCTCAGCATCCTTCTGTAAAACCATATTTCTGTTGTTTCAAGATTCTTCTTCCTCTGAGAGGAGATTGTCTATCATCCAATGCCATATACAAGGACGGATGATATATAACAGTTCAGTACTCTTTTCTTTATTTCTAACAAATATATTAGATATTAGACATTTTTCTGTTTCGTAATACTTTGCTTAGATTTTGAAAAGCCTCTTTCGCTCTCCCAATGCGCCTTCAGATTTCCATGTTGCACTTTCAGTCCTCTGTTAATATGCTTCCCAGATATGTAAATTATTGCACCTGTTTGATTTTGTTATCTCCAGTTCCACATCCTGACTTTTTATGATGGATTCAGAGGATGAGATTTGTCTGAAAAGTATCTGGACTTATCTGTTCTTCGATGTGAGAGGCGTTGTCCACAGTGAGCTCTTGCCACAGAGGATGACGATTAACCAGCAAGTCCACAAAGAGACCCGTCTCCGTTTGCTTTGATCAGCGCACGAGAAAGCATAAATTGCCGGTGCTTCAGCATAACAATGCATCTGCTCACAACGCCCTTACAATCCGGCAGCTCTTGACCGAGAAGAGCATCAGCATACTTGATCAAACTCGCGCTTATTTACCTGATCTTGCTCTTTGTGACGTTTTTTTTCTTTTCTTCGTTACCAAGAGGGCCGTAAAAACGGAGCTGGTTGGGTATCCAAGAAGAATCCTCCCACAAGTGCATAGAAGCGTGCAAGGGAAGGATGGAAAAGTGCGTTAGACTCGAGAGCAGTTACATTGAAGGGGAAACCATATAGTTTGTTATTTGGAATTGAAGTAAATTGTTTTAAACACAAGATCCCTCGGTATTTCATCGTCGAGACGTTCCACTTAAATAGCTTCTTCCCGCGAAGGATCCCCCCCACCCAATAGGATGTTTCTCCAATCGCTACAATCTTAACCTCTACAAGTCTATAGTTAACAGTTACCTTACTTTTCTATGCGTACAAACTGCCTCCTAACATAACCCTCTACCTCTAGCGTCTACCGAATATTGTACAGACTTTATTCATTTATATTTTAATCATTGATTTTAGAAATTACTTGTATATAGCTGATAGTTTAGATATTTCGTAACGAGTTTGATATTATGCATGCCATGGATATGAAAGTTTAGAACAAACGAGACTATTTTAGAACATGTCTAGAGTTTTCATTTTTTTTTTTTTTGGCTTTGTACTTTGTTATTATATAGCGCCAGACCTTATCTTCTCTATGACACACAGGGTTCGTTTTCTGGACGCCATTTTTAACCATTAATCTTAGAAAGATATTCTATACTTTTGACAGTTTAGCCATTTCTGAACGGGATGGGTGCCATGATTTAATTTTTTTTCTATGCACCACCTTCTTTCAGGATATAGGCGATCATAGCTCTCCACAACTTCCTGTTATTTATAGCCCTGAATAATTATTTTTGGCCATAATTCTCTTATAGAAATGGCTTCCAGAATTGATGCCATTTATATCGAACTTTGGAATTTTTCATAGTATTTTTTCTACAGGCACGAAGAAAATAATTTGCGTACTTGAAAGGATTAAAACTAAATAGACATAATATATATATATATATATATATATATATATATATATATATATATATATATATATATATATATATATATATATTCAAACATATCTTGTTAAATATGAAAACGAATGTCTATTATGTATGACATTGGCCGTTTTAAGTTTCGTAAAGTTACTTTAATTTCGGGAAAAAATTTAAAAAAAATAACTAACCAACATTTGGTTAATTTTTATTGAACTGTTCCTCGACCTAAGTTTTCGGCTCACCTGAGCCCTCATAAGAGTGTTTTATAAAGAAACATAACAGGATATCATTTTTGATGGTAAATATCTTGGCTGAAATGTCATTATAACCACTCTGATGATGGCTCATGTGAACCGAAACCTTAGATCAAGGAACAGCACAAAAATTATCCAAATATTGTTCATTCTTTTTTCTTTATTTTTTCCCGAAAAAAAAATATTCAGATGCTAGACAATTTTTGTTTTGGTTTTCTCCTGAAATTAAAGCAACTATACGAAATTTAGAACGGCTCCTGATCAAACATAACAGACATTCATACTGTGTTAGATTTAACAATATATGTTTGAATAAATTCTGCTGCCCCAATACACTGAATGCGAACACACACACATACACACACGCACATATATATATATGAAGTAATATAGTTTTAAGGTGTGGTATATTTACGGGATAAATTGCTCAAAATCAGAGATAAAGTGTATATAAATATAAATATAAAAGTGAACATTGAATTCAACACTCAGTGGCGACAGACTGTTTCATGTTGGACGCAATCTTCCTGCCGGCCTGAAAGCATGAAACAGCATGTCTGAGCGTTGACATCAATGTTCACTTTTATATATATATATATATATATATATATATATATAGTAATCGGATAATCGGATGTCTAGCCAAACTAAAGTGTTGGGATACAACGAAACAGTCTGTGGATAACAATATATATATATATATATATATATATATATATATATATATATATATATATATATATATACAGACACCACGCATGCACACACACACACACACACACACACATATATATATATATATATATATATATATATATATATATATATATATATATGTTTGCGCTAATTCATAATTTAGACGGTATACATACATGTACATGTGTTCAAACCATAAAGATTTTCTCATTTCTGTGAAAATTTTGTTTTTCTCTATTCGCAGACAAGGTGTTCCCTAAAAAAAATTCTCTTTCAGAAACATCAGATAGGAAGAACGACATGACAGGGTTAATGATAATAAGATAATACAGAAAGAATCGAAGATGTTTTTCTTGTGCAAACATTGTTATAGATCGACCGACGAAAGCTTAAGATAGAATTAAACCGTGAAAATGGTGTTATGATGGATGGAGAGGTGAAGTTGGAAAAGGACAAAAGATGCAGAAGGGGAAAATGGAGAAAAAGAAAAGAAGAATACGACGTAAGTGTGAGTTACAATTAGAGGAAGGAGGATGATCATTTTGAATTTTCTGAATGGAAGAAGGGAAGCAAAGGAAAGTAAAAAAAAAAACTGAACAAAAACAAACAGTTAGACACGAAGAATGTGAAAAATAAAAGAAAGAAATGAAAAAAAAGATATAGGCCTTGTAGATGTGAAGATAAATGAATAAAAAAGTAAAAGAAAGAGAAAACGAAAGAAAGAAGAAGAAGAAGAAACAAAGAGAAGGGAGCTGTTTGAAAGAGGAACTAGAATGATGCTGCGAGAGGAAGTACTGCAGTTTAAATAGAAGAAGAAGAAAAAGAAAAAGAAGAAGAAGAAGAAGAAGAAGAAGAAGAAGAAGAAGAAACAAAGCGAAGGGAGCTGTTTGAAAGAGGAACTAGAATGATGCTGCGAGATGAAGTACTGCAGTTTAAATAGAAGAAGAAGAAGAAGAAGAAGAAGAAGAAGAAGAAGAAGAAGAAGAAGAAGAAGAAGAAGAAGAATGCGACCCCAAAATATTGGAAAGGTCAGAATAACGTAGAAAAATAATAGGTTAAAAAAGTTAAATAAAACAAGTTGGAAAAAACATAAAATGAATTTCGAAGAATAATGAAAAGCGTAAAATGAATGATAAGAATGGAAGAAAGATGTAGAAATTAACAATCCTGACAATGAAACAGAATCAAAAAAAAAAAAAAAAAAGAATAAAAAGAGGAAAGACAAATCGGGAAAGAAATAACTGATGACAGGTCTAAAAAAAAACTAAAAAAAAAACGGGATAATACTGAAACCTGGAAATAGAACAAAACGTAGTAAATGGAAGAGGAGAAAGGTGGAAAACCAGAAATATAAAAGAAGGAACGAAAACGGAAGAACAAAGGCATATTAAAGAAGAATGAAAAGTTTAGAAGGAAGAATTATTACTATTAAAAGAGAAAAGAACCAATAGGGGAGAGGGAAAAGAGGTAATACGAGAGAAGAAGGAGAATTAAAATGTATGAGCGAAAAGAGAAGAACGAAGAATCATGTGAGAAGAAGTGAGCAATAAAATCATTAAAAGAGAAAGAATAATGAAGAATTATTCGGGGAGAAAGAAAAGAAGAGGAAATATATGAGGAGAGAGAAAAAGGAAATGCATGAGGGAAAAGGGAAAAAAGGAAACGAATTAGAGAAGAAGAAAGAATTAAAAATCGTTAGAAGAGAAGGAAGAAAAAAGAAAGATTAAGGGAGAAAGAGAAAGTGGACATATGAGAGAAAGAAAGGAAGCACGAGAGAATAGAGAAGAACCACAAATCACGAGAGAAGAGAGAAGGAGGAAGTAATAGAAAAGAAGGCAGAAGAATGAAAAACAACGAAAGAAGATGAAGTATTCGAAAAGATAGAAGAATATAGAAGAAAAATATGAGAGAAAAAAGGAAAGACAAAGAAGCACATGGAAAGAAAGAAAGACAGAAAGAAAGAAAGAAAGAAAGAAAGAAAGAAAGAAAGAAAGAAAGAAAGAAAGAAAGAAAGAAAGAAAGAAAGAAAGAAAGAAAGAAAGACAGAAAGAATAGAATAATGAAAACGAAGTAGAAAAAATAAGAATGAGACATGAAGTAGGAACTAAAGAAATTAGGACAAATAAATATTTGAGTGAAGGAATGAATTATGTAGAAAAATATGAGAGAATGAAAATGAAGAAGAATTGGATTAGGATTAGAACCGATAAAAAATGGAAAAGGCACAGAAGAATCACGAAGAAAAACGATGAGGAATTCATAAAAACATAATAGGAAAGAAAGAGTTACAGCAAAAAAGAAGAAATATGAGAAGGAAAACAATGAAAGAAATTGATGTATTTGAAAAGAAGGGAGAAGAATAACATGAGAGAAAAAGGAAGGGAAAAGAAGCGCATGAAAGGAAAGAAAGAAAGAAAGAAAGAAAGAAAGAAAGAAAGAAAGAAAGAAAGAAAGAAAGAAAGACCAGATGCATGAAAACGAAGAAGAAAAAATAAGAATGAGAAATGAAGTAGAAAGTAAAGTTAGGACAATTAAATATCTGAGTGAAGGAATGAATTAAGTACAAAAATATGAGAGAATGAAAATGATGAAGAAGAATTGGATTAAGATTAGAAACGATGTAAAATAGAAAAAGGCACAGAAGAATCACAAAGAAAAAACAATGAGGAATTCCTAAAAAAAATTAGGAAAGAAAGAGTAACAGCAAAAAAGAAGAAATATGAGAAGGAAAATAACAAAAAATGATGAATAAGTGTCAGAATGAAAAAAAAAACAAAGGTTAAAATGAGTGAACAGCCTAAAACATACGATCAAAAAAAGGAAGGTTAAAAATAAAAATAACAAAAAGTAAGATAACAGTTGCTATGGTGAGCAGAACATCTGGAAGAATACGCACAATGGATCTATTAACAGAAATGGCGTCGGATAAGAACCGATAGTGTGAATGATCGGATGAAAACAAAGTCGACGGCGATGTTCAGGACCCTTAAATGGGGATTTTTTTTAAAGCTTGTCTTTGAGTTTGTCTTGTACCAAGTTAATGTGTAATCGTGTTTGAGGGTAAGGGTATGAGAAATTTCGAGATTAGAAATTGGTGTGTATATGCTTGTACTCAGGTGTGATCTGCTTACTAATTATAATGTCGCTCACAAGGTAAAAACAACGAAGGTACCAGGTAAGGATCTTTGGGAACAGAGTTCCATTACCAGGACGAAGATCAGCTTTGTTACATCTTCGGATGTGAAGTTCAGATATCCAGTTTTAGCGGTCTGAATAACGAACTCCAAGTTAATTAAACCGAAAAAGAATAGAGCCAATGGATTTGTCCGGTGAGACTGGGGAGATTTTGACAAGTGTCTGTCTCCGAAATTTTGTCGAATTCTTCTATGAACCAAACAATATCTATTTAACTAAACTCCAGGCAAGGTTCTCTTTGATGTCGCTTTCAGAACAGCAATTTTCGAGATATTACAGGAAGACAGAAATCTTTGATTACGTCCTCAAGCGCCGTTAAAAGGAGAGGTGAGTTATCACTATTTACATATATTTAAATTCAGACAAATATCCTCATCTTTGTTGTTGATATCACAAAAGTTCAGCCTTCTTCCGGGATCCATTGATCCGTATAACCTTTCGTGAATTTCGGGTTTACGGCCATATCACATTGAAATGTCGGTTCTCGTACGATCTTTAAAGTTAAGCAATCTCAAACCTGATCAGTACCTAGATGGTTGATCGCTTAGGAATACCATTTGCTGTAAGGTTGGATGTGCGGGTGGTGTGATTGATAATGGCTCGGTGTGGTTAATTGGAGATTCGAGTTTAAGTTTTAGTTGGATTCGTCAAATTCACTTACGCTCAAATAACTTTGAGAAGTGTATGAGTCCTTCTCTTATCCCCCGGCTATAGATTAATTAGTAAGACGTGTATCAATGAATTGTCATTATCTCAAAAAAAAATTATTCCAATCTAAAAATATTTTTCTGGATTTAAATAATCTGCAAAGCGTTGATAAACCATAGAAATCGAATCAATCAATTTAAGGAATTTAGATATGAAGCCTTTATTTAATGAATGGAGATAAATTAGTTCGTTTCCGTTGTTTGGCTCTAGTTACATCGCACCTGTGTTTTTGTTGTTGTTGTTTTTTTTTTATTAGACAATAGCATTGTGATACATTAGCATAGCTGATGAAATCGTTCGTTTATGCGAATGAATTGGTGGCATATTAATTGTGGGCAGTGTAGAGCAGATTTACATTCCGTGGAAAAAGAACAAACAATTTGTGAACCAGTACTAAAAAAAAGAAAGGCAGTATTAATAGATAGCTGTTCAGTTTGAGGAATCAGAGAGCCGGGTTCGAATTCCAGTAGGGGCCATTATATTCATTTACGTACTAATAATCTTGGGAAAGGTATGAATCCGCTTCTTCTCCCACTACACACAGCTATGGGTAAATAGCAGTACAGACTGGGTTCTATAGCCTTGAATGGCAACTAGTCTATGAGAAGCACAACACTGAATTCACAATCGGCTTGGAGACGGTTGAGCTCGGTGAGGCTACCTTGCCCAAGAAACACCACTTCTACTGTGACTGCAGTACACATGGTTCCCCTACGGACCTACGGGTCACGTGATAAAAAAAAACAAAAAAACAAGACGAGATATCTCTAAATATCTCCGTACATTTAATACATGTTTCTCTGGCGATTAAACGGATCGACAGATATCTGAAGAAAACAGGAAGGTATAATGACTGAAACGTTTTAGCAATAACGATAAAGATGAGGACATTAGTTTTAATACGAATAGAGATAAATAAAGACAACACATCAACCCAGTAATTAACATGAAATTTAAGGTGTACATGTTATGTAATCAGGTACAAACAGACGTCGAATTCCAGTCGGGTTCGTTATCTTCACTTCCGCGCCAATACATTTGGGAAAGGTATGAATTCATCTCTTCTCTTCCCAGTAAAACGTACTGGGTACTATAGATTTAGCGAGAAATCCACCTCAGAAAGACATGGCAACCTACTGCGAGAAACCCTTCTGTCTACTCAGGCATGAATCCCAGGAGACATAATTCCCCACGCGTGTATCACGTATGACACTTAATTGTCTGACTCACTGTATGGAAATTGAACTGAAAAATATTTTGAGAAAGAATTTAGATAAACCGATGAACCAAATCTTCAGAAGATTCGGTACGCTCTACTCAATTTTAGAAGTGGATTCAACCAGATGAAGTATGCACAACGTAATATATAATGGGGTGATATAGCTGTGGCAGTGCAGCTGTGGCAGTGCAGCAGTGGCAGTGCAACGGTGTCCAAGGATCCGCATATGATATCGAATTGCCTGCACGGGTTATCATGACTCTCTGTCGCTATATTGTTTCCCATATTCGGTAGGTCAAAAGGATTATAGCGTCACAAATCTGCGTGAGATCGGTCTTGGCTTGTCGTCCTCTGCTAGCTCACCTCTGTGTAGACACCCAGAGAAGCTCATTAACAATTTCGACTTTAGCTTTCTGACAATGCATTGCATATCTAAATCTGTACACTTTGATGATGCCTGATACTGGACGAAGGTCTCCATACAATCGTTCATTAATCAGATGAGATCTCCAAGAGACATTCAAAGCCGCTCTTACATTTTATCTAACTCCATTTAAATGATACGCACACCCTTGCGTAAATTAATTGAAACAACCATATTAGTTTCCTTTCTTTCATCATACGGTCACTTTTAGACCCACTGTAGTGACAGGGTGCAATCGATTTCTATTTTTGCTCAGATTAGGTCATTTGTAGTGGTGTGCAGTAATATGAATCTATTTTCGGGGTGTATGATGAAATCTGTTTGGCCTTGAAAAATATTGCGTCATCCATGATTGCATCAGATTTCCATCACGCCCAGACACTATTGTTTCGACTGTTGATTAGTTGTTCTACAGCCATTGTCTGCGATGGGCGTTACTCCAAGAAGCGTAGAAAAGTTGTAACGCTGCACGAACACACTGGCAAGCCTTACTAGTGAGCAAATCAAAGTACTATAGACTGGCCCGGAATTTCTCCTGATTTAAATACAATCGACAATATTTGGTCAGTCGACTTCGTGGAATGGACATACGAAGTACTAACATGTGAACTTGGTCACATATCATTGAAACATACGAAAATAAATTAAATAATAACGGAAGTATTCATTTTGTTTCAATGAAATTACAGAATGGTGTACTTTATCTTCATGGTAACAATTGGAGATACTAAAATCAGACAAGTACAATTTAAATATCTGGGAATTGTTTTAATAGTAGATGAAAAGTGCGACAATGACATCCGAAGACGTATTGGCATAGCCAAAGATGCTTTCCGAATGCTGATCAAGGAATTAAGAGGGCGAAAAACTTCTTTAGAATAAAAAAATGCGTACTAAACTTTTACGCGATATGTGTGCTCTTATAGGACACTGGATTCTGGACAATGTCCTTATAGATGAAGAACGAACTTGATCCAACAGACATATGGATCTACAGAAGGAGGCTGAGGATCCCATGGACCGAACATGTCTGATTTTGGTATCTTCGATTTGTAATTTGCATTCTGTGCTCATCCCCATGTTTTCACTGAGCGGCCAGTAACTACTGCACGTTGCTTCTCCATTCCGGTCGATGTATTCCAAAAACAGGTAAAGTCCCACAGCATGTTCACAAGAAAACAACAGGGAAATCAAATGCAGCGTCGAGAAACGAGGATTCGATCCCTGTTTCAAATATATTTCTGTGTTTTATTCAAGGCTTCGCTTGTTAGGTCTTTGTAGATAGGCATTTAACACTTGTAACAAATTCGGCCATGTCAATCTAACATATCAGCTTTTTCCTTTAACTTTATCTACACTCATGACGCGTGTTTGGCAATACGAACGGAAGAAAAGGGTGACCATTAATATAGACCAGTGTTTCCCAGTATGGGCGATAGCGCACCGTCGTGGGCTTTATGTTGAAAGGGGGTAATCGGAGTTTTTTTTTTTTTTATTTCATTTGGGTGGAGGTGGTGAACATACTCAGGTTGTGGTGGGCATGTATCTATTCTTTTTCCGATTTTCAAAAATTATTCAATATTGGCTACAAAAAGAAATTTCTTAAAGTGCTGTGGAAAGCTCTCAAACTTTTCTTCATTGCATTTTCAACTTCCTATATGGCTGAATGTGGTTTCAACGCAGTTACACGACTTCTTACTAAAAAAAGAAACCGCCTGCAAATTACAAAACAATGTGATTTACGATTACTTCCAAGAAGTATGGAACCTAGAGTAATGGCCTTAACCAGTAAACACCAAAGTCGACCATCGCATTGAAAACATTGAGATAAGCTATAAAATAAAAACTTTTTTATAGGATTTTAATCATTGGTATATCTAATAGAAACGAAGACAGTATTAACATTATTTTTGCACTAATACTTAAG